CATCCCCCTATCTCCTTCTCCTAAACTCCGCTTTCTAACGAGCGCAGCTAAAAAGAGATTAGGCCAGGACGGCCAGCGGGTTCGGGCGGCGGGAGCGGATGTTCTTGCCTTTCTCTTGGAAGTTGGCTTCGGTGAACTCCCAGACCTGCTCGTGCGTTTCGAGGTAGAAGTCGTAGGTCCAGTCCTCGTCGTACTCGCAGTTGTCGAACGTGTAGTCGCGGCAGATCTGCGGGCGCGTCTCGTAGACGCCGCACCGATAGTCGTCGCCAAGCTTCTCGCAGACCGTGTGGACCAGCAGGTACCAGTCCTCGTCTTCCCGGAAGAAGGTCGAGTTGTGGTGGAGCACGATCCAGCGGATGAACTCCATGTCGGCTGCCTCGGTGGGCGTCTCGTACGGCACGGCGATGTAGTGGCAGCACTTGGCCGTGCAGTACTCGCAGAGGTTGCCTCCCTTGGGGAGGTCCTCGCGGCGGATCTTGGTCGTGCCGAAGGCGGGAAGCGTGCTCATAGGGGCGTCTCCGTACCGAGTGGGCCGTTCCGAATGGGTAAGGGACGTAGTTTATCGGGTTTTTGGCGTGGGGGGAAACGGGTGCGGCAATGACGAAATCCGAATGACGAATGACGAATGACGAACCTGTCGGAGGGTTCCTGCCGCGACCGGCAGGTTCGTCATGCGTGCTTCGTCATTTAACCGCCGTGCTTCGTCGTTACCTTGGCGCTCTTCGCGTCTTGGCGGTTAATCACCCCATGCTTGCCCGCAGTTTCCCGCCGATTGCCGACGCCCGCGCGCGGGTGTTGGTGCTGGGGTCGATGCCGGGGGCGGCTTCTTTGGCGGCGGGGGAGTACTACGCCCACCCGCGGAACGCGTTTTGGCCGATCATGGGGGAGCTGTTCGGCGCCGGGCCCGAGCTGCCGTACGAAGAGCGGCGCGAGCGGCTGATGGCGGCGGGGGTGGCGGTGTGGGACGTGCTCAAGTCGTGCCGGCGCGTGGGGAGTCTCGACACGGCGATCGAACGCGACTCGGAAGAGGCCAACGACTTCGCACAGTTCTTCCAAGACAATTCAGCGGTGCGGCTGGTNNAGAAAGCCGAGACGGCGTTCAAGCGGCACGCGCTGCGGACGCTCGACGACGCGACGCGCGAGCGGCTAACGTTCGTCCGGTTGCCATCAACGAGCCCCGCCCATGCGGGCAGGTCCTTGGCGGCGAAGCTCGAGGCGTGGCGTGCGGGACTTGGCTCCGGGGAACGAGCGACATGAATGAGGAGTTCGAGAGAGCGATCGAGGCGCTTCGGCGTGCGGAGCACGTCGTCGTGTTCACCGGCGCAGGAGTATCCGCGGAAAGCGGGATTCCTACTTTCCGTGATGACGAGGGATTCTGGCGCCGGTTTCCGATGGATCAATTCGGGACTTGGCGAGGACTAGTTCGTACGGCCCGGGAAGAGCCAAAGCGGTTGGCAGAGTTCGTCCGGTGCGTGATCGAACCAATCGCTGAGGCGCAGCCGAACGCCGCCCACCTAGCCATCGCCGCCGCCGAGGCGTCGGGAGTTCGATTGACCGTGGTGACGCAGAACATCGATCGGCTGCATCAGCGCGCCGGGTCATCGACGGTCTTTGAGCTGCACGGGTCTCTCTACGAAAGGTGTGGCGGCAAGCGCCAGCCTCGGGGCGTAGTCACCACGCCGCAGCTACAGAGAATCTGCGCTCGACTGCGAAAGGCCGAGCGCGGGTGGCTGCCGCTGCTGCGGACGGTGCTTGCGTTGCGTCCGATTTTGGGGATCGGGCTTCGCGGCGTCTACAAGCCGGCGCTGGTGCTGTTCGGCGACGCGATGGCGCAGCCCGCTTGGTCGCTCTCTCGGCGTGCGGCCGAGGGTTGCGATTGCCTCTTGCAGATCGGGACATCGGGCGTGGTTTATCCGGCGGCAATGCTGC